CTATATATATATATATATATATATATATGTACATATATATATATGTATATGTGTGTATATATATATATATATATATATATATATATATATATGTATATATATGTATATGTATATATATATACATATATATGTATATGTATATATATCTAAATATATATGTATATATATATACATATATGTGTGTGTGTGTATATGTGTGTATATATATATGTATATATGTGTGTATATATATACATGTATATATGTGTGTATATATATATGTATATATGTGTGTATATATATGTATATATGTGTGTATATATGTATATATATGAGGGTCCCTCATGGCGAGCCGGTTTGATCGATCTGCCCAAGCCACGACCTTCTTGGTCGTCCCACAGGCCTCCTCCACCCGGCATTGTCTCGAACAGAGACAACCTGGTGGGCAGGATTCCTGCGGGAATCGAGCCAAGTGGCCGTATAGCCTGAGTTGGCGATCACGGATTCTGCAAGTAACAGGTCCCGCCAACTGTTGGTTGGACACATGGTCCCGCCAACTGTACCCCATGATCCAGCGTAAGGATCTGTTACAAAAGGCATCAAGACGAGATTCTAAGTCACGAGATAGCGTCCAGGTTTCACTACCATATAGTAAAACTGGCAGTATCAGGGCCTTGAAAACACGTAGCTTGGTCCATTTGCACAGGTACCAGCATCTCCAAATACTCTTGTCGAGATATTTCATGACCCTTGCTGCCAGGCCAATCCATCTACTGACTTCCTGGTCTGACAGCCTGGACTCATAAACTGCACTACTGAGGTATATAAAGCTCTTGGTAACTTCGATGTTTTCACCGCAAGCACGTAACGACCGCACAGGGTCTCCTAGTAGGCCTCCAAAATCTTGGATCTTGATCTTGGTCTAGGAGACCTCTAGCCCCAGGGGCTTCGCTTCATTGTTAAATATATCAAGAGACGCCACTAGGGTTTCCAGAGATTCTGACAGAATGGCAACATTATCAGCAAAGTCAAGGTCAGTAACCTTGATATTGCCCAAAGTTGCTCCACAGTGACTTTGGACAGTAGCTCTACCCAGTATCCAATCCATGCAAGTGTTGAAAAGTGTTGGTGCAAGAACACAGCCTTGCCTCACACCTGAACTAACAGGAAAGAAGCTCGACAGGCCCCCACCACACTTTACAGCACTTTCAGTGCCTGTATACAGGTTTGCTATTAGCCCAACAATCCTTGTTGGAATTCCTTTCAGTCTCAGGATCTCCCAGTGATTCGCAATGCACCGTATCAAACGCCATCTTGAGGTCGATGTAGGCTGCGAGCAGCCCATGTCCGAACTCACGACGGTGCTCTACAATGACTCGAAGCGACAGGATGCGGTCTATTGTGGACTTACCAGGAGTGAACCCAGATTGCTCCGGTCTTTGGTGCCTTAGGAGGTGGTCTCTGATATGTCTCAGTAAGATGTGGGTGAGTACCTTGCTTGTTACACTGAGCAGTGTAATGCCTCTGTGATTGCTGCAATCCCACCGATCCCCTTTTCCCTTCCAGAGAGGGATGACCACACCCCTCAGCAGGTCAGGGGGAATGGTACCGGTCTGCCAGATGGCAGACAGGACTGCATGCAAGCCCCTTCAGCTTGGAGATCGCCCCCTTGACTTCAGTCAGGGTTGGTGGATCCTCGCTGATGGGTGGGTCTGGCAGAGGAGTCTCAACATTACCAGCATCCAAGTTAACTGTTGGTGGATCAAACTGATACAGCTGCTCAAAATACTCAGCCCAACACACACGCACCCCATCAGGATCTGAGATTACCTGGCCACTTGCTGAGCGGACTGCCGTCGTCTGTGAGGAGGGCTTGGAGTTCAGCTTTCTCAGTGCTTGGTAGGGAGGACGAAGGTTATTTACTAGGAAATGGGTTTCGACCTCCTCTGCAAGATTACTGATAAACTGTTCCTTATCCCTTCTCATGAGTGACCTAGTCCTGCGCGCCAGAGAACGGTGCAAATTGTGATCCCCTGACAATCGAGCCGCATGACAAGCTTCTGTGGCTTCCAGTGTCTCCTGTGAGATGGAATTCTGCCTTGCTCTTGGGCGTACTCCAATGGATTCCTGAGCTGCATCAAGCGTTTCACGCTTGAAGAAATCCCATATAACAACAGGGTCTGTCAGGCCCTCGAGTGCTGTGAGACGACCAGAGATAGCCTCAGCAAACCCCCGGGCACACTCATCCTCCCTCAGTCTGTCCAGATGAAACACCCTGGGATGTTCATTTGGTCGACAGGGGGTTCTAAAGTGGACCCGGAGAGTAGCCACAACTAGTCTATGATCAGTTCCACAGAACTCGGCGCTTCGATACACCCTGCAGTTCTGGAGGATCCTCCACCGAGTGCTGACAAGGATGTGGTCGATCTCCTTGGCCACCCTACCCATATCACTGTACCAAGTCCAGCGATGCGGGTCAGAACGCTGATACCAGGAGCCAGAGATCCTCAATTTCTGGGAC